TGGATTCACGCAGTGGAAACCTTTGAGGGGTGTAACTTCTCCAAGGCGAGTTAAAGGTCAGATGTCCGTTGTGGTTCACCTGGAAACAAGTTAACCAGTTCTTACTAACGAAGAATTTGTAACATTTACTACACCCATCAACATACGTATTGCTCATACTTTATAACCTTATTATAACAATATATTGACAACAACCTAACTGCAGTACTTCTTTAATACCTGTTTCAGTTGAAGTCAAATATAAAGTATTAGTTTAATAACATAGTGCATTTTGTTTTTACATCACCAATTTATGAATTAACTTCATTAATTTATTTGTTGCAAGAACTGTGTTGGAAGTGATTTGTTAACCAGTGGATGAAAAGTGGATTCCTCCACAAAACATAAAAGATATGGATTTTGTATTTGCTAATATTATATTTACATACATAAATCTGATTATGCGACCGTCCGAAATACAGAAATCGTCGTTGCAGGGGAATGTTAGGAGAACTTCCATCATCTATGGCATTGCTTCTTGTTCCGTTAATTGCGTAGAGGGTTCCTCGAAAGAACAAAAGACATCACATTTTTAAGAAGAGATGGAATGTCCATCCATAGTGTTTTTTTGTACATTTCTAGATCACCACACCTAACCTATCATGCCAATGTTTGATACAAAATATGCTTTTTGTGTTATTTGTGTTTTTGTGGACTCGTTTAATCTAATATTCTGATCAACCAAAATAAACCTTTTTCCCAGCAGCCATTATGGCATGTTATCGCAGGAACAGCACAGATGTCATTGAAAACATTAGAAAAGACAGCATTCTCTCAAAGGCTCACTGGCTTTGCTTTCTGGGACAGTCAAAATTACTTCTGTCAAAAAGTTCTAATTTAAAAAGCAATGTAACACCACCTGAGATCTTGTTTTCTACACAATAAAATGATCACCGTTGGGCATAGTTGCAGGTGCAGCAAAGTAATCTTTGTACCACATACCAAGTGCAACCAGAGGGTGGCGGTGAAACTCCACCTTTCAACCTGGTATTCATAACTTGTTAACTTGTAAATTAAAACAAAGCAAAGAAATGCCTTGGGTGTGGTACCTCTGCAACCTCCACACTGGCATAGGATGTAAATTGTGTATTTTATATATATGTATGTCTAAATATATAGATACATATATATAACAATCATAACCAGCAGTATTAGCTGCAATCCAGGGGAAATGGGTATAATGTGGAAGTAATAACTAGAGCGACTGTATGACTGACATGTTAATGGCATGAACAAATTACTAAGAGATTATCCAAACTCCAATTCACCTGTCGTCTGAGGAGTCACCGTACCTATGAAAACAAGCACATAGATATAATTGGATTAAAATCAGTCTGCTCTGCTAACATCAAAAACAAAAGTCAGTTAGTGATTTTAGATAAATACAACAAAAATAAAAATGTATTTAATTAATTGATACATCAGTCTGGTATTTGTAACTTGTTAACTTCTAAGTTAAAGCAAAGCAAAGCAATGCCTTGGGTGCGGTACCTCTGCAAACTCCACACTGGCAGAGGATGTAAATTGTGTATTATTCAAATATGTATTGATTTTGTATCAAATTTTGTCATTTAGTCATTTTTATTTTCCATTTTTCTGTATTCATTGTTCTGAATGATCTTTATCCCTTTCCTGCCCCTTTAGACTGCTTCTTCTGCTAATGTATTGTGACATGTGAATTTACCCTCTTGGGTTGTAGTTGAGGCAACA